GTACATGTCAAATAATTGGAATGTTCCAAATAATTTCCTTCTGATAAAAATGATAGGAATTATATAAAAATATACTTATATAATGCAAGGACTATATTTTTAAGGGTATTGCGTTTTTTCTGTCAAGTTTTTATTTGTTATAGATTCTGTCATATCCAAAATATTGTTCATCCTCGTTTCAGTCACCCGCGTTGGATATATTTGGATATATTAACATGCTTAACGTAATAAGCATTATTAGGTTCAGTACATTAGTAAGTCCTGGGTCGAGCAATCCGCTGTCCGTGCTATATTAAGATCCATCGGCCTCGCGATGCTCTCACGCACGCCCACAGTACGTTCGGATAAAAGCAAACGTTGCAACTATCATAGGTTTTCGTGTCCCGATTTTTGTCAGACCCTGTACCGTTTTAGGGTCCCATCACTAATATGGTATGTCACATAATCTGAAATCAGTGTTATGTCATTGCGTTCTATAAATATTAGTGTGATTTTATTTCCAGTGTGTGATGTGAAAGTGTTTTACGAGGAAGATTTATCAATATGAAGTTCGCTATTGACGTTTTGGGGATATTTTTGAAAGTAGTTATTAGGGTAAGTGAATGTCGAGGATAGTCCAAGTCGAAGTCCAATTGATTTCATTATACTTTTAACAAGAAGATATATATAAACTATTAATAAGCTTTTTAATAATGTGACAATAGCTAATTAGAGTTGAGATTTCTGTTCAGAAAAATTTGAAGAGTAAATTAAAACGATGGGATATACAAATTTTGAAGATTATTCTTCAAAGACATTACGTATGTTAAATTCTATGCAGCTTTTATTTAGCTTTCATTTTTTTTTAACCAAATATTATTATGAAGTAATTCGGGAGCCTATTTTTATTTTACCAGTGAATGAGCATACAAATCATTCTTTCACGGTCGCTACAGACAGAACCTTGTACCAAAATATCTGCCACTGCGCATACTAATTGTTCTGTTACCAATCAAACTCTGGTTTGCGCTTCATAACCTTTTAAAAAAAACATCGGAATATCATAGAATATTTATTTTTAATTATGTTTTAAATACTGTAATATGTTTATAAAAAACTTAGTTTAAATTTGCTTGTAGAGTTTATTTGTAATATGATGGTCGTAATATTTTTTAAATAAGTTGCTTGGGAAAAGAAAATATTACCTACTCAAAATATTTTTCGGATCAAGTGAAAATCACATTTTTTTGATATCACCCTTACTTTCATTACTTATTACTATTAACGTTTTGTTTAATTTTTAATAGTTTTTCGTAATTTATATTTACAATTATTACTAACTTTCATAGTCACAAAGCTATGAGAATTGAAAACAGTATTTGCGATATTATCTGCTTTAAATTATGTTACACATATTGTTTTACTCATAAAAACATACATATATAGTTTTCTATTTCCTCTTTACTTTAAAAAAATAGCCGACAGTCCATTCAATTTTAATTTAGAGTACTGGATATTGAAAACGTTCACTGGCTTATGTAAACACACGGAAAATAAAAACATCTCTTATTTGTTATTTTTGCACCTCTTCAGGCATTTTAAAATAGAAACTTGTTGTGATAGTTCGACTGTATAAACGTGTTTTTTCGCGTGTTGTTATGTGATTTTACTGTATTTTCAGAATAAATTAATGCGTTGTCGGAAATGTTTATTAATTTATACATATATACAGTAGTAAAAAATTACGGAGGTTTGAGTTTAAGTGAATATTTTTATAAATTTTGGAAATTTGTTATATTTTTTTTGGTTTAATATTAGATGGTAAAATTTGAAGATGGTATTTCTACATTTTAGTTATTTACAAGATAAAAAATAACGTATGCTTAACCAAGCTTTCTCGTCTCGTCTGCCTGTGATCAGGGTTTCTGTAAAGTAATTGAAACGTCAGGAATATGTAGTGAAAATAATAAGAAAAGCATAGTAAATTTGAAAATATTGGTTTCATTTTAACCTTAGCTTGTCTTCATCTTTAAATCTGTAATTATCTACACATACGGTTGTAGTTTTGTTTGTTTATTTGATGGACGTAATAAAAGAAAATACTAATTCGTTTTTGAAAATTATTTAATGTTTGTCAGAATATTTATTGAGAACCATTACGAACATATATTATATATGTATAACAGTGCGACCAATAAGAGCTTAATATAAATGTTTAAAAATTAAAACAAAAGTTTATAAATGTTTAAAAATAAAAACAAAAGTGTTCTTTCGAGTTACAATTTTTACAAGAGCTCTTAAAAATACGACATAGACTTACAATAACTTCTAGAGACCTAACTTAGCTCTGATATTAAAATTAATGTTAACAAGTTTCATAATTCGTGTAACAAAAATCTTTATTTTAAAACAATACTATTTCGTGATCCCGTATTTTTATTCGACGTACTTTGAATTTTAAAATATTTCAAATGCTCTAACTATATTTGACAGCTTGAGTGGATTCCAAATGATAAAATATTTTGCGTATACATGCGCTATGTTAATTAAATTTTAAACTGTTATATTTTCTACTTATGGGATTTATATAATTTAAATGGCGTCTGTTTAGACTTGAGTCGTAGATACGCCAGTTATAAGTCGCTGTAATTTACGTATGACAAATGACGGTTGTATTGTTGTTTCAAACAATATATGAAAACGGCTATAACACTGATATGTATATTATACAGCTTATTTAGCTTTGTTTGTCGCTTATAATAGTACAATTGGGAATTCACGTACTGGTTTTAATGAGTGTGTTTAAATCAAGTAAAGTATTTTGAGTTCACATTATGTTTTGTATGATTGAAAAGTCGTATGATACATATATTAGTAGAGGGTATGTAAATTATATATATGTGTGTGTGTGTGTGTGTGTTTGTATGCATGAATTACAGTGGTACATAAATACCGAACGAAATTTTATGAACGCGATTTATATAACATTTATTTTACTGGTAAACATGAATCAAAATGAGTATTTTCTCAGTTTGCTGTAGACTTTTGAAGATATTATTCAAAACTAATATTAATATTATAATATCCCTAACTACAAACTGGGTAGTGACATTAAAAATTACTTGGCTTTTTTATAAACAAACCTACAGAAATAAAAAATGCAGAAAAAAGAAACTATAAAAACAAAGGAAGCATAAACGTTCTTTTGATGTTCATCACGAAAAAATCATGTGAAAAATCATGAGAAAAAATCTACCAATACTAAAAACTTATACACAAACCTTATACGTAAAAAAACAAATAAAGAGAAATAAACTAAATTGTGTTAATATAAACATACTAATAATAACAACTGTAGAAAATAAAAATTTAATTGTATATAGTTTCATACAATCATCGTGACGACATCTAAGACTTTCGTGAGTATTCATTTAAGTAATCATTTAAGTTAGCTTTGGAATTTATTTTTTTATAGATAGGACGCGTTTTTACAAATTTAGACAATCGAATTGAAAGAGGCAGAGCGTTCCACAATGAAACTGCTCCAACTTTAAGAAACTGTTTCTAAAATGTTGTCCTAAGACAGTAAGGACACTGTTAACGAAGGCGAATCTTTCGAATGCTCTCAAACTATTCAAAGGTTTTCTTAAGAAAAGAAGAAGTTTCCTTAAGGTAAAAGGGAAGTGTAGAATCGAATAATACAAGGTAAGGAAGAGGAAAAGCTTTTTATTAGGCAAAAGCGATGTATGGAGAACCCTGACCTTGTTATAAAATTCAGAAATGTTATGTTATTCCTCTATCCCAATACTATGAATGGTATGATCACATTCTGGAGACGCTGAAGTTTATTTAGATGGTTTAATAAATTATCTTGCAACGTCACACACAAAGAATGACTATGTACTCACATAATTTACTTGGAATTAGAAGAAAATATCGCAATCTTAATGAGATCCTTATACAGTTTTTTTGCAAGATTTGGATAACTTTAGACAACGTCTGATCCAACAATACACCAAAGTTTCAAAAAAACACAAATTAAGTGGAGTTACATCATAGTATTAGTTGATCCTGCCGTCAAGAATGGAGCACCAATAAAAATGATTTAGTGTTAAATAGGTATAATCTCAAAAAAGCAACCCAGTTATTATTAATATCGAAACGAACAACGGATGGTCCATGGCGATCATTGTATCAATACCGTGAGATACCGTGAACTACAATATATTACATTACTGTGAGATAGTTCTCACAGTATTACTATTAGGAAGAGTACTTCTGTTTAGACGTTTAATGTTAATATTAGTAGAAGTTTGACGCTCAGGTTTACCAGCTTCATTCATTCATTCATTCGAGAACCTTGAAGTTTTCGCTGAGTCACCATTTTGAATGGAATTGTGTTAGTGGCGTGCAAATATTCCTGGTTTGTCTGTTTAATGAGCTTGAAGAAGTCGTGTTGGTGAAATGGACGGGGCAGCAAAATGTTCAAAATTGTTAATTTCCAGAATCATTTCTTGTATTTTTTATGCAGTTTCTCACTATGAATATACTTCAAATACAGATATAACAAAGTCATATTAGTTTATTTAGTATAAAAAAATAATCAATTTACAAGTCTATCACATTTGAAACATAAATGGTCTTGTAGGACGAATACTTAACGCATAAATTCTTTATTCCAAATTCTAAATATAACCGAAGTTAGAAAATAATGACCTACAATTCTTGGCAGAAACAAAACACTCTTTAAGTACTAGTTCTTTTTTTCACGTGAAAGGTGGCAAACGAGCAGACGGCCCACCCGACGGAAGGTGGTTACTGTCGCCCATGGACATCCGCAACATCTTTATTGCGGATGCGTTGCCAACCTTGTTTTTTAGGGATAGGGAGGGGTAGGAAAAAGGAAATGGTAGGAAAGGGTAGGAATAGCTCGGAAGCTTTGCCGTTGCTTGATTATAAATATAATATTAAAAACAGGTAGATTTAAGCAGTCATTTGTTATGAAGCTTGCTTGAAGTTTTTTGTTTTGTCTTTGTGGCAAATTATTTAGTGATATATTTTATTTGTTAAAGGTCAATCGGGACACGTTTGCACCACTAGTGGTGTCAACATTATTCATCTTACTGACCTCGTTACTTGCACACTGCGCTCGAAGACTGGTGCAAAAGGCAGTTCGAGAACCATTCATCAGACTACTGTTCGAAGAAGCAATAGCTGCTGCTGAATTATGCGGTTGCTGCTTTGAACTTATCATCGGTAACTTGATTATTTAATATTTGTATAAGAATATCGTAATAGATTGCCGCCCAAATGTTCAAACACTTAACTGTGTATTGTTTTTACTCAATGCTTTCTTTACTATGAATTTTCAGAATTGTTTGAATGTAAATCATACCTGGATTTACTTTTATATTAATTTAGTTTTAAATTCCGTGTTGTTTTTTAGTTGCGGACAATTTCGGTGTAGCTACATATGCGATATTTTTATTCGCGCTCACGATTTGGTGGTCGTTGAACTGGGGAGAGGCGACAGCGTGTCCCTACACTCATATTGAGGACGTCATAGAAGGTAAAAAATAAAATTTTAAACACCATAGCATATCTACAATATTTTAACTATCCTTTGATCTTGTACAATTTCGTTATCTTTGTGTATGTACTTCGCTAATATCGATATGCTTGTATGATTTGATTATAAACAACTTTATAATTTTTAATAGCCATAACATCGGATGGCATAGAATGAAGGAACATTATTTTACTGTTTTAGTACTGGTACCATTTACGACTTATGATACGTGGGATGATATTCAAGTATTATTTTCAAAAAAATATGTACCTAAATGGATATTTTTTATTTATTTCAGGCAAAGGTGACATAAGAAAAGCCTTACTTAAGACATGGGCGGAGTTGGCAGGTGGACTCCTGGTGTTTAAATACATACAAATGTATTGGGCCTTGGAGATCTCTGACACACATAAAAATAAAGCCTTCGAAGACTGTACGGCTGATTTACAGGTGAATAGCCTTAATTTTGACGAGCTAAATAGGTGTCATTTCAAAATTATCCGGCAATTTCAATACAGTAAAGGAAGTATAATAAATTATTTTTCTAAGCATGAATTTAAAACAAGTGTGTATGCTTGAAAGTATTACATATGTATGCTATGCTTAGGCTTTTGTTTGTTAATATTTATAGTCAATTATTAATTGAAACGTAGAACAGCTTTTTAAACTATATTTATATAAAGATTGATTAAATTTTTATGTTTCTAGTAATTTAAGAATGTTTTGGAAAAAATTTATTAAACATTGCATAAAATTAACACTAATTTTGTTACAAGCTTACATATAACTTTGAAAGTTTAAATGAGAAAATTTTCAACAAATTTTGTTATAATTATAGTTAGTAGCATGTATTTTTGAAGTCTTTTTGTATGTTCGGAGTACATTAACACATTTTTTTTTAAAGTTTTAACGAAAATCGCACCTAAAACAAATTCGGAGAAATTTTACTTCAGAATTGTTTTAAAGGTGCCATATTAATATGTCCTCTCTTGACAAGGCTGTATTTTTGTAGATGCAAGCACTAGACTCCGTTAGGGTACAATTGATTTGACTCATTCTTTTGTTTATTGACGTAAATTTCCAAAAAAATTAAAATAAAAACTGAAACTAATATTTAAAAAATATATATTAAAACAATACCCATAGCAACATAACGAAAAGAATTAACCCAAGGTTACTGGTAGTGATTGTTTAGTAAAAATAAGAGTAATTGAGTATTTTTATTAAATTTTTTTAAATGTGTTTTATGTTTTTCTTGGTGCAAGGTTCCTGTTCTTTACGGAGCTATAGTTGAGGGAGTAGCGACTTGTCTTTGTAGACTCGCGTCCAGATCGCTGAGTGACCTAAATCCAAGGTTTGCGACAGCCATTGACTCTTTCATAGGAACATCTCTTGTTGTAGCCGGTGAGTGTTTCCGAACTGCGTTTGTATGATATACTTAATCTAGTGGTTAATATATTGATATCACTGCTTTAAATTAATAAAGTAATAATTCTTAATATTGATGATGAGTGACAATAATAACGGCATCTGTATTCATGTTTTTCTTTGGTATTCTCATTTCGCTTTTATGACTTCACTTTTGCAGGGGTTTTATATAGGAATACGGTACTGACCTATCACTATGAAGACAGTAGTGCTAACGCCGACCTCAGTGTGTCAGTGTTTTGCAAAATCCGTGTAGGAAAAGGTATTTGACCTGCACCACCGTTGTTAATTTGCTTGTAATTGTTGTTTATGTGTATTCTGTAGTTTGTATTTCATTAATAATATTCGTTACCTACTGTTCCTTAACTTCATATCTCGTTAGAGCTAACATTATGGCCAAGACATAATAGAATGAACGAAGTCCTAGCGGTAGTTAATAAAATTAATTTCATTTTCACTTGGAACATGAATGAAGATGCCTTTATTATGCTGGGAGTGCACTTAAAATCCACTTTCATTTGATGATAACACTACGTCTAATAAATGCAATGACAATAGCTGTCCCTGGTTCAAATGCACTGGGCGTGAATACAGTTTGAGTAAGGAAAGGAAAATATAATAAATTTGAATGTAAATGTCTTTCTACTTTATAAAATGAAAAAAAGGTAATATTTTAGAATTATTTCTGAGTATATAAAGCATTTAGTAAATTTTAAATGAAATAACGTATTTCGGATATGACGAAACGATTTTAATATTTTATTTTTACATTTTCCCGACGTTTCGATTACTTTATAGCAATCTAGGGAAGATGCAATAAAATAAAAACGTTGTTAACTTTAAAAAGCGCATTCGTGATTCTTAGATTTAATTTTTTTGATAAATAAATGGCCTCTGCTTAAACCTAGTTAGAAATATTAAAAAAAACTTTTAGAATTAAAAAGATATCAAAATGACCCAGAACAGTAGCCGAAATTTAAGATGATCACTTATGGAAACTCATTAAATACGTAAGATATTGTAAATATAGTGATAAATACTTTCACAGCTTTCGACTATTCCGGTGGTTATTTCAATCCTGTTCTGGCTACGTCCTTGAAAGCCGGCTGCGAAGGTCACACCTTGGCTGAACACGCTATGGTATACTGGCTAGGGGCATGCGCCGGGTCTATCATATCAGTGTATGTATATAAACTGCCAGCGATTCAGAAGTACGTGAGCTCCACTGCAGAATTCAACGGAGATAGCATCTGGGCTGATAAGGAAGATTAAGATTTGAAGCAACAGGAATATGATTTACGAATGAAATAAATCTGATCTAGTCAATCGAATGCTTTATATGTAACGTAACTTTAACAGAAAAATTGTTTTGTTCAATAAGCTTATGGAGCGAGGGAACTATCACAGCTAAACGACAGTTTTTTTTCTTACAACGAATTTTTAATAATTGTTTTTCATGAAAAGTTAAAAACTTTTAAATGTATACTAAGTACTACGATTTGTAAATAAACTATACTTTTTAATATTTTTCATTTCAATCAACAATACACATCTCAAAAATTTGTTTAGGTACAGACAAACGTTTTAATTAATTATACATCTTATAATTTTGAGGATAATGATTAAGTAATATTCCTTTAATGAAAATGTTGTTAAAGTAAACCATAGCCGCTTTTTTAAAGAAAATAATATTATTTTCTTTAAAAAAGCGAATATAATTAACAGTATATTAAGAAACGTATATATAAGTCAGTGGTGGCCTAGTGGCTAAAAGGTCCGCCTCTCATACATGAGAGCGCGGGTTCGATTCTGGCGCAAGTACCAATGTGATTTTTCCGAGTCCTATATACTTTCTAAGGGTATTTAGACATCACTGATTAATGCATTCTCAAAAAGGGTTGATGTCAGGCAGGCGGCCGGTCGTAAAAACAATTAGCCAAACTATTCATATGTAAGGCAGACCCTGGCTATAGCTGGGAAAATGCTAGATAGAAGAAGATTAAGAAATATTTAAAACAGTCAAAAAAGGTACAAAAATGCATATATACAGTAGGCTCTTCATAGGTAGTGTTGAATTTATACAATGAAAATTTTTCGTTTATTTATACCTATGACTTTTAATAATTAAAAACCGAATTGGTTATCAACCGTGACGTAATAATGAAAATGAGCAAGGCTTTATGAGGACACCGGTTGGGCAATATTTGTAGCAGAATACACCAATGACGGCAATATTGGAATAGAGCCACGAGATTGAATATTTGATTGACGCTGATTTGTATAGCCTAAATAAACAAAAAAATAGGTCAATACAAAAATAAGAGACTGAATTACGGAACTATATTAAAAGTTATATTTTAAGTAATTTCCTTATATCTCATGAAGCTAATTAAAAATTTGATTAAAATATACTTCATATAATTTTTATTTCACTGGAGATATTTGATACTTTTAAGATATAACTTTGATTTTATTAAATAAATAAAGATTATATGATTCAAATCAAATATAGATAGTCACTCGAAATAGTTGACGTAGAGCTAGAAATGATATTAAAACAAAATATATTTCATCGAAACAGTAATAATTGTAAGCATTTTTCAGCTCACCATGTTTTAAGAAGACTGCTATTGAAATGAGTGTGTGTGAAGTTTAACTGTTGATCTATTATAATAATAATGTAAAGAAAAAAGGAGAAGTATATTACAGCTATCTTGATCACAAATCAATAAAAATGTATTCTCAGTTCTCATGAATAGAATCTTTAATATATTAAATATACAAATATATATCTTTAATGTTATTGGGTACTTCCTTTTCAATGGTGAATACTTCGTAAGAACATTTGTATTATTCATTCTTATTATACAAACAATTATATTGAAGTATCTATGAGTGTGTAGGACTAATTACTTCAATAATACTATCAGTATTGTTCTGTTCAAAACATTGTTGGTATTACTTCGATTGTTATAATCTTATTAAAATAATTATTATGAGATGATTTGGTGTATCCTCAATATGCATTTTGTTATTGTGTAATGAAAGTGGTATGGTATAAAGTAAACACGTTTTTACATAGAAGAGGTGTGGGGAGATTGTGGTCGTAGGCTTACCTTCAGCTTTTTTGCTTCTTCATCGCTAGGACGTTTTAAAAACGAGCTATTAAAACCTGATAACAAACAACTACTGAATAGAGACGGGAATGCTCTCTTAACATAATAAAACGATATACACACAAACAACCGTCGCCGGTCAAGACAAGGTCACCTTTTATACATGTCGCTCCTGTGTTCGCACACTAGCGTCGATGGACCATGGTTTTTCATTTCCTGAAGGGTAAGTGGAGGTCTAGACTTTCACATGCGCTTTATTTTAAGATTACATCTCATTTGGACTACCCATCCTTCCCGGTGCCAATGTCAAGTCTAAGAGGCTAACAGCGAATAAAGACCGTTTAAATAACATGATGTAATATGTAGTTTTTAATTCCCGACAAAACTGTTAATTTATTTTCATAATCAGAGTGCTGTATATTGTGCATCATTTATAGTTAAAAAAATATTATATTATTTATTTATCCCGTAATAATGGGAACTCTGAATCCCGACAATTGGCGACATTAATGGAAATCAATATTTCGGTTTTAAGATTTATTATCATGTCCACTAACAAAGAAAATAAGATATAATTTTATGCTGACGACTACGTGGTGATAATTTAGAAGCTGTTGTATTTTTAAATTAAAAATATGAATTTTTTTTTAGGGAGAAATATCTGTATTTCAGAAGCTACTAAAGCAATCAATTGATATATAGCTTTTATCTTCTATATATATAAAAATGGATTGCTGTTCCTTAGTCTCGCTAAAACTCGAGAACAGCTGAACGGATTTATCTTATCTTAGTCTTGAAATGTTCGTGGAGGTTCAGGGAAGGTATAAAAGGTAAAAAAATGGATTCATTACTGGGAAAACCATAAAAACAGCTCTTTTCTATTTCCCATACAAACGTTTTTTTTTTGACATTAGATTTGACAACTTACTAATATGTCAATCATTCTGTCGCACTTCAGAACATGGAGATTATGGCTTACAGGTAAACTCCAAAAATATAAATAAAAAAAACGTAATAGATATTTCTTGGTTATAGGGCGATACGAAGTTCGCCAGGTCTTCTAGTTTTGAATAAAAAAACTATTACATTTGCTTATGTAAATAAGTATAAGGTGGGTAACTTACTTTTACAGACATTTGAATATGAATATAACATATATAATATCCTTATTTCATGATTTATGAAATCGTTTACGATAGTTTAGAAATATTTTCTTCTACCTGACAATTTCTCAGCTATAGCCAGGGTCTGCCTTACATGTTGTGAATAGTTTTGGCTATTTGTTTTTACGGCCGGCCGCCTGCCTGACATTAACCCTCTTTGGTAATTAGCATTAATCAGTGATGTCTAAATATTCTTAGAAAGTACATATGTATTACTCGAAAAAATCACATTGGTACTTGCCCGGGGCAGGATCGAACCCGCGCCCTCGTGCATGAGAAGCGGGCCTTTTAACCACTAGGCCACCACTGACTAGATAGTTTAGAAATATATATAAGTTTTATTCAGTAATTGAGATGCCAGATTGATTTATGTCAGTGAAGAGCAAGTTTAAGTAAATCGGAGACCGCAACGTCAAGTTTCTTTAAGTAAATATTGTAATTGGCAAAGATAAATTTAATTAGTGCATCATTCACTAAATTGAGAACGATCTAGGATTTAAAATCAATTTCGAGTTGTATCGTTTACGTTAACTAAATCCTTTGAAACCTTTCATCAATTAACATACAAATTGTTGTTGGACTTAAAACTTTAATTATAAAAAGTTTCAATATAAAAAAATACCTTGCAAAAGAGGAAGAAACTTGAAGTGACATATGAAAGAAAAGTTCTGTATATGAATTCCTGAGTCTATAATAATGTGGCTTCGATTTTGTATTAACTACACTAGTGAAAGTAAACTGCCTCAACCCGAATAATAAAATTTCCAAAGCTTCATTGCCTAGAATGTTATTGTTTTCCCACAAAACTTATTGATCCACTCATATGAGGTATAAAAGATAAGAAGTCATATTATTTGGTGAGATAAGGATATATAATAAAAGAAGGAAGTAGGGAAGATGAAGTTGTATTTAGTTAGGTGAGTTAAGTTATTGGATACAATTTAACAAGTAACCAAAATTGCAAATGATGATTATGAAGATGGATAAGTTCTAAGCCGAGTTGTTTTTGGAAGTATCAAATGAAATCAAATAAAGATTAATTACGATATATATGATACGAAAAGTAGATTTTAAAAATATATTTAATAATGATGTACAAGATAAAAGATAGTAAAAACATCTCATTGATAATAATATAGGTATAACTTTTATTAATTTTAATATAAAAATAAAAGAATGTTATCAAAATTGTATTATATTTAAAACAAATTATATATTGCCAGACGTCTCATCAAATATTTAACCCAGTCCAATCGTAGTTTATTAAATGACTCTCTGTACTAGTATAACGAAAAACAAGGAAATACATTCGTCAAATACTATTATATCAAATATTTTCAGTAAAAGTGTATATAAGCATGAGAGATATATCTAGATAATAATTATTTCAAGTGTCATTTTATGAACTCGCTTTGTGTGACATCACATTCTGTCTTAACTTGATTTTTATAAAAGGTTAACAAAGCACTCGTTGTTTCATTACCGTGAATTAGTGTATAGAAAAATTAAGTAACAAAAATCTAGATTTGAAATACATAGTACTAAGTAAAATTACTTGTAACGTAACGTAACATCAAACAATAAAATTAATAATTTGTGAACAATGTAACAATTATGAACATTGTAGCATCGTATTAATTATATACAAAAACTTCTGTATATAAAATTGAATGTGTAATTAAAACGCCGGCATGTGATAAATAAATTAAAAATAATATTTACTGAATACTTAAAACAAAGGAACATTAATATATATACACACAAATTACGATGAATTAAGTCCATCGGTATAAAATTAAAAGTATATTTCTTAGTTATTTATATGTTGATATGAGTTTTTATGCTGTTGTCCTACGTACTAACGAAAAGTTGAAAGGAACAATAGTATATTCAATGGAATACCAACAAAAGGAAAAGGGGTTTAGGCACTCCGAGCTCTTTTATTTAAAATTTCTAGTAATAAATCAACTAAAGTTGATTTAAATATTAAAAT